CCACGGTGGTGGTTTTAAGCTCTCCAAGCGCTTACTTTCGAGCTGGTTTCGGGATTCGGGACTTCTTCGCCGCGCGTTTGGAACCACTGCAAAGTGGTCCAACCCCTACTTTTCGGGTCCAGGGTTTATGCTTGAGGTGGGTTTGGTTTAGCGGTTTGCGATCATTCCGAGATCATGAACCCCTCGCCTGATTTCCCAACACCTTGAACTTGATGCCTCACCAATTTATGTGGCCCCGTAAACCCTAAACCCGGAACCTAGTGCCTTGCTCCGCTTGTTGCAACGGTCGTAACCTAAACCCTGACACCCTGGAAGTACAAACACCTGAACCCTCAACATGCCAAAGCCCTACTTAACCCTAAGCCCTCAACATCTCCTAAGCCCAAACCCCAGGAAAAATCCTGGCAGACCCTTTCGTGAAGAAGGGGATCACAACACGACACTCAAAAACTGACAAAAAAGGATTCGTTGAACAGGTTTTGCAACGATTTCATGAAGCTTCATGACGAGTCTGTGGTGGGTGTGTATGCCAGGGTTGTGTGAGGGTTCTCATTTGGGTTTAGAGTCCTAAGCCGCTTAAAACGAAGGATCCCATTTGTTTAAGGGCACTCGCACCTCGAGGATGACCTCATACATACATATGTATTATATATGCATGCAAAGCCTACACACGGCTACTTATATAACATGGTCCATAGATAAGTAAATGCGTATGTAAATAAATAAACAAATAAAAACATCGTACATATACATACATATATATATATATAGCTGAATATAGCTATATATATATATGCCGAAATATCAAGGCGCAAGCCCGTGGAGGCCGACAGTGTCTGGGTCTTGACACCAAAGCAACAAGATGAAGGTATTTTATCTTGGAGTTCAGGAATTCCAATGCCTGCATTCAAGGAGACTCATGAGATCAGGAGCAAAGACGATGCCATGAGAAGCAGCAATATGTTCATGAGAGGTGGCGGGTTCATTTCATGTGGGCTATGGTGACGTTGAAGCCCAGAGAACTGAAACCTAAAGCATCGCAATAACCCTCCTAGCATGATTTTTGGGAAGCGCCCTAACAAGGGCCCGGATTTCCGACCAGAATCCAGAATCCAGAATAACCCTCCTAGATCCCACAAGAAAGGTATGTCGCCATTGGGATCCGCACGAGGATGGCTCGCTTAGGTCCGATGGCCCGAAACCTGGCCCCACAAGCCAAGGAGGCAGCGTTTAGGGTTTAGGGCCTAGGGCTTAGAAAGAGATCCGGTTTCTCATAGAGTCGATGCAGCTTTCAAGTTTCGCGCCGTTTTAAAATGGGGATGTAGGACAAGGATATGCGCTAGACTAGAACTTTGGATTCCACCTCAAGTATTAGGATGTAGTCTTTACGGTTTGAAGCGCTTCAGAGTGTTAGGGGGCTTCGGGGTATGGGGCTTTAAGGTTTTAACTCAGGGCTTTGGGTTAGTTTCAGGGCTTAGGGCCTAGGGTTTCTCACGACTTTGGGCAGATAGGGTGCGCAGGGCTGTAGGGTTTTTTCCAGTTTCAGCTTCCATGCTGACTGGCGTTGTGGCTTTTGGGCCAACAACCCCTCTGAAGCCAGTACCCGGAAACGTTGGAATCACGCAAGTGTACACTAAAAGCGGCATGTTCAAATGGGAGCTGCTCCTTGTCACGTGTCTGTTATTCCTTCATGCTCATGTACCTATAAACCATGTGAAGCACATAGGCCTCAAAGTGCTTATACTATGTAGGAATTCGTTAAGGTCTAAGTATATGTTCTATAGGTACATGAAGCCCTAGGGCTTGTAGTCGATCCGAAAAGCCGGAAGCTGGTGAGAGTCTGTGTTCTTTTCTTTGTGTTTGGGGTGTTGGTAGGACTCCCGATTCTGTGGCAAAGCGCAGCATTTCAACAGAGCAAATTGAAACGGCTAAACGAACCCAAAACAGAACAAAATGCATTGGTGTCCTGCGAAGGGGGAAAGCCTTTGCACGAAGCAGTAGCCCATGTGCTGACATACCGCAGATGCTCCTCTAGTGGCTTATGCGATGTGGGATCGCCAATCTTGACCCCAAACTGCGAGCACACGGAGGCGCCTAAACTTTATCGGCTGAAAGTCTCATTCCTACAAAGAGGTACTTTCGAGTAGTAAACCTGATCGAAACCCTGTAGACACCCTAATCCCTAAAGCCCAAATCCGCAAAGCCAAGGAGCTTGACGGAAAGCGTCGCACTGCCCCTGGCTCTGCCGCTGCACTCCCTTGGCACAGGCCGGGGTACAGGCCACGAGAATGGGTATCCCGATTACACAGTATGCATTATCGCCAAGTACTAGACATACTAGACTGTCATCAGTGGGTTTGATGATGGCCCAGTAGTGATGCCCTGAAGCAGAACCCAAAGGCCCGAATGCTTAAACTCCTAACACAAAGAAAGCGCCGATACTCTAATACCGTAGGCCCTAGCAGATACTCTAAACCTTCATACCCTAAACCTTGATCAGGCATCGGTCCGACCAGAGACCTGAAAACCCCCAAACTCGAAACACTTCGGAATTGGCTTTGGCTGGAAAGGAGTGGGGCCCAGTAGCCCAATCTAATGTAGAATCAGCCGCAACTTAAATAGAATGTGCCCATTTCAGCCGTACATGATTCACACATCTCGGATTTCGGGTGTGTGGTTGCCCAAAACCTACACCCTGAACACCAAATCCTAAGCCCTAAAACCCTAACCCCTAAAAGCCCCAAGCCCAATGTGCAAAAACCCAAACCCCGAGTTGGCTGAGGCGACTCTGAGGTCAGCACGTAACTTCCTTAACTCCTTGGAGAAGATTCGGGAAGAGCTTCCTGCCGATGATGATGGTTAGGTCTAGGGTTGAAGGTTAGAAACAGGGATAAGGAAGTTTAGGGCTCAGGAAGTCTAGGCTTTAAGGAACTCGAAATATATTGTGCCCTCGAAGCTGTAATTACAGCTCGTACACGCCTGACAGGTCCCACGGTGTAACGTTTCCGCGTTGCTTCAGAGTTCTTGGCGAGGGTTGGTGCCGGATAAAGAACTTTCCAAGCAGGAGTTTGGGTTTACCAGCGAGTGGTGGACATATGAGGAAGAAGAGCACTCATCATGACATTCGGACTGAAGCGATGGTACTACAACAAGACACTTGACACGCATACTGGGAAGAGCAACTATCATCGCAGGCTCGCGGTTGTCGTCGTCGTCGTACTAGTAACAGTAGTAGTACTAGTACTAGTACGAGTAGTAGTAGACGTCGTAGTAGTAGTAGTAGTAGTAGTAGCAGAAGGAGTAGTAGTAGTAGTAGTAGTAGTAGTAGAAGGAGTCGTAGTAGTAGTCGTAGCAGTAGAAGTAGTCGTAGTAGTCGTAGTAGTCGTAGTAGTCGTCGTAGTAGTAGTAGTAGTAGTAGTAGTAGTAGTTAGTAGTAGTCGTCGTCGTCGT